CCCAGGTGAGTCGCTTTTCCCCAGAAAATCCTGTAGAAAGTAAACTCCAGGGCGCTGGTTCAACTGGGAGGAAATTGTGCACCGGCAGCATCCTCCTGCCCTGCCTCCCCACATCACCTCCACGCTGACGTTCACGTGGCGCTACACATCCCAAAGGCCAAGGCACCGAGCCAAGTGCTTTACACGCAGGAAAGGAAGATCTTAAGGATGCCTAATGGAATTTGGATTAACCACCCACCTCTCATCCCGCCTGGCCTCACGTGCGGGGAGCCTTCCTGGCAAAGGCAGCCAGGAGCGAGCCCCTCCGGGGGATTTCTCATCTCCCCTTCAAGCCGCCGGAGCCTGGAGACCTCATGGGAAAGGAATGCAGGGAGTGAATGGCTGATGGCAGCGCCGTAAAAATGTGGTTTAATTATGGGCTGTCCGACAGCGTGCCCGCCCCAGCTTCCCTGCCTGCCTGCCGTGGGGCAGGTGGGACCAGCGGTGGCAGCAGGATTCAGGGACACGAGAGGCTGCTGGGGGCATTTTTTTCTCAGGGGCATGCAGACAGACCGAGAGGTATGAAGAGAGAGCACGTGAAGCACGTGGGATCAAGAAAAAAAATATCTGTCAGCTAAAGAAACCAAATTAAGGCCACGAGTTATGGTGCCAGAACAGCAACGAGCCTCTCGTCATCTGCCTGAGTGTCTTGCCAAAGCAGACTCAGCAGACAAGAGATGAGAAAAAACTCTCCAAAAGGGATTTCTTTCTTCTTAAATATTCCGCATTCCTGAGGCCGGAGCTGCCCTTGCACTCGCTGCTCCCTTTGTGTGACCTGGCTCCCCGGTGCCGCGTTTCAAAAGCCCAGGGCAGCTCCCACCGGCTTCAGTGGCAGGCACTGATTTTGCACGCTGGGGTACCCGGGGGGGCTCTGAGGTGTACCAGAGGAAAACATTTTTCCCCTCTGACCGTTTAGAATGGACAGCAACAGCCCCATGTGCCCAACAAACTCCAGGGCTTTCTTCCACACACACAAATTAAAAAGAAAAAAAAAAAAAAAGAATTGTACCTGAATGGACAACTCCTCCTTTCTCTATCTGCCAGCAGACAAAGGATCTCAAAGATCAGAGCCAAGAGGATTTGGGGCCATTAAAATAATAGTACTTGACATAGGGACAATGCTGGGTACTGTTTCGTGCCCCTTTACCTCCAGGCAGATAAAAATCGAGCTTCCAGAGCTCACGCTGCGTGCACACAGGCAGCAAAAACACCTGTATTTGAGGGTATTTGAGGAATTTCTCCCAATTCAGTTTGCTATCAAAGGAACGATGCAGGTCCCCCTCACAACATGAAGAATTACGCATAATATGGACCCGGGGAGCACTCCCCAAAATGCCAGGTCAGCGCTGGGCACGGCGTGTGCGCCTTCTCACCAGGAGCCCGAGCCCAAACCCAGCCAAATCACAAAAGCCCGCCCCGAGCTCCAGGAAACTTTGCAGCAGGGATGAAACCGAGCCCCGTGTTTTGCTCCGGGCGCTTCACAAAGACCTAATTCATCATTTCTTTTCACCACCCTGGAAAGCTATCAGGGATTTCAATGCATATTCATCACTCATTATCGACATCTAGCCAGGTAAGTCAAGGTCAGGGCTGACTTGTGAAAGGCTGGAGCTGTATATTTAGAAGCGGCTCATCCCGTGCCTCACAGCAGCTGAGAGCCAGCGTGGGTGCGCTCCCGTGCTTCGCTGGAGGGGGCGGAAGGAGGGGGGAAAAAAAATAAAAATGGAAATTTGCATCTATAAAAGCTTAAATAAAATAGCTGCCTCCCTACTCCGGGCATTTTTACTGTCCCCACGTAGGCAGCATTCCCACATGCCTCCCGCTGCATCTCCCGCGTGAGCCCTGGGCTCCTCTTTTCCACCTTTTTCCCCCATTGCATTTTGCAGACAGCTGCATCTCCTGGCCATACATCGCGTGCAGGCTGCGGGGAGCCTGCGTAACCCCTGGGATGTGCATCCCAGGTTTCGCATGCCCACGGCCGCTGCCTCCTCTCCTCCAGCATCCCCCAGCCCGGCCCCCTCCCTGCACCGCCTCGACTTCCCAGCCCCTACGTGAGAGACGTGCAGCTCGGCAGAAATTGAATGGATCGCCGTCAAAGGGCCAGATGAAGGCATCACTTGGAGCTGCCACGACCAGGAGGAGGACAATCGGGCTAATTATTTCCCGCACCGAGCGGCCCGATGGTGATGATGCTGCTGCTGCCCTGGGGACCGTGCCGGTCTCGAGGGAGGCCGGGGCTCGCCATTGTGCCTCCCCGCCGGCCTCACGCCTTTGTGCCCGTGCTCTTTGTTGCTGCCGAGGAATTAGTATCGCCTATGGGAAGCCACGGGTTTCAAAAACCGAAAAATGCCCAGCCGGGCTCTTCCCATAGATCGCAGCGAATGATGCCGAGCGTGGCTCGTTCCCACCCCGAGGAACAATGATCATATTATTATGATTATATTCGTATATTAAAAGACGTTAGCTTTCTCCTCTGCAAGAGGGAGCTCTCCCGTCAGAAACCACGTGAATAAATTAGTGAATTAAAAAAAAAAAAAAAGAACAGTGAGGCACCACGTGCTCGGGGGATTTCTTTCAAAAGTGTCAGTCCTTGAGAAAAAATAAAGAAACCCAAAGCACTCAGACCCAGCTGCAACACATTACACCCATCCCACCCCAGCCCAGCCATTTCTGCCCCACGGCCAGCCAGATGTTCAGCCTGTTGCTGCTCAGAGCCATTTCCTCGGTGCCTTCCCCTGCACATGTGCCCAGACACAAGGCTCAGCATCCCTCGTGGCACGCCGGGACCCACAGCTATGGGGCAGCAGCCGTGATTCATCGGGGAAATTAACGGCATCATTCATTTCATCCAGAATATATATTATTTTTTTCCTTAAAACTGGGTAAACTGACCAAGAGAAACACGAACTTAAAAATAAATAAATAAAAGAAGCAGCTGCCTGCTCGAGAAAAGCAGCGGGAGGACTGATTCACCTCCGAGCCACATCCATCCCTCTCTAGGCTGCAAAACGCTGCCTCCATCCTCGCTCTCCGCAACCTCTGCGGGTTCCTGCGATGTTTATTTGGCAGCTCTGGTGGTTTGGGAGCTCCGCGGGGTGGCACAGCTGCCGGGTGAGTTAAAAGAGCCGGCTCCCAAATCAGCCGTGATTCACGCCGCGTTTGATAGTAGCGCCGGGGCGACCCAAGCGTTGGCTGGTATTTATTTTTTTAAGCATGGGGTTTGGTTTTGAGCACCCCCACGCTTTCTTTTTCTGCAGGACGCTGAGCAGGCAATTTGTTTGCCCTCCCCTCCACCTGCCTCCTTTCTCCCCCAGGCGCAGGGGCTGGTGGCAAGGTGCAGACAGCTGGTGGTTATTTGGGTTTATGAAATCCACAATCTTACCCCCCCCCCCGAGTAAAAGAAAATCAAGCCAAACATCAAGGCAAGGTGCTGAGTGCCCTGAAAAATCCCAGCTGAGCTAGCCTAAGAGCAACCTGCCCTATCCACTGTTAATCCTATAAGTATTATGGGGTGGAAAGTGAGGGGGAGGGAATGTCAGGACATGCGTGGGGCCGGATGCAGGCGGGCTGCACCTTCCTGGGCTGGAAGCATGCACAGGGATGCTACAGGGAGGGGGGCAAAGTCAGGCTGCAGGGATAATATGGAAAAATAGAGTATGGGGGGGTCCACCTCGGAGAGGGCATCACAAGGGGGGTGCACGGGAGGAGGGAAGGGGGGGGTGTCGCATCCCACCCCCGCCACCCTCCTGCCGGGGGGATGCTGAACCTCCCCCCAGGTTTCCCCCCCGCGTTTATCCCATCTTTCGTACTCACAGCGGCGGGGCAGCGCCGGCCGGTTGTCATTGGGGAGCCAAATCTTCTGGATGCGGCTTTGCGTCAGCTCCATGGGCATTTTTAAAGCCAAGGTCTTTTGGCGCTCCGCGTCCACCTTGGGGCGTTCGCAAAACGGGGGTGGAAGGAGAAAAAAAAAAATAAGGGAAAAAGGGAGGGGGGCGAAAAATATAAAAGGAGACGATAAAATAAGGCTTGCCGCTCGGTGAGGGTTTAGAGGGGGAAGGAGGGACGGGGCACAAAGCGGGGAGGTGGGCGAGTCCCGCTGCTAGTTTTAATTAAAAACAAAAAAAATGCAAAAAAAAATATCGTTTCGCTTTGGTTTTTTTGTTCTCCTCTTTCTTCCTTTTTAAAGATAAAAAGAAGGCTGAAGGCGAGGGCTGGCAAAAAGAAGCGGCCGCGCTGCTGCTGCCGCCGTTCCCACGCTGCGCTCGCACTGGAGGCGACAGCGGCGGCGGCTCCTATTTGGAGCCGGGAGGCCGAGGGGGGGGGGCCCGAGGGTCCCCGCCCTCCGGGGCGGGGTCCGGGGGGGGCCTCGGGGGGGGCGGGAGCCGAGGAGGAGGGCGGAGGAGCCGGGGGGGGGCGCGGCGCGGCGCTGCCGCCTGCTGCCGGCCCCCCCGCACTGCAGCGGGACAAAGGCTTTGTTTGGAGGATGGGGGGATTTGTGGGGGGGTTAAATGGAAAGGTTGGGGGGGTGGAAGGGGAGAAAGAGGGGAGTGGGAGTGTGGGGGGTGATGGGGAGAGAGGGTGGGATGGGGAAAGGGGGTGTCGGAGATGGGGTGGTGGAGATGGAATGGAAAATATGGAGATGAAAGGAAGGGAGGAGAAAAGAACAAAGGAGAAGAGAAGAAAAAAGGAGAAAAAGAAAAAAGGAAAAGGAGAAAAGAGGAGAGGAAAAAAAGAAAGAAAAGAGAAAAGAAAAGAGAAAGAAGAGAGAAAAGAGAAGAGAGAAGAATGGAGAAAAGAGAAAAAGAAAAGAGAAAGGAGAAGGGAGAAGAGAAAGGAGAAAAAAATGAAAGGAAAAAAGAAAAGAAAAAATAAAGAAAAGAGAAGAGAAGGGAGAAAGGAAGAGAAAAAAAAGAAAGGAGAGAAAAGAAAATAAAGGAGAAATAGAAGAGAGACAATAAAAAATGAATAGAAGAAGGAGAAAAGAAGAAAGAGAAAAAAAAAAAGAAAATAGTAAAGAGAGAAAAGAAGAAAAAAGAGAAAGAAAATAGCAAATAAAAAAAATAAAAATAATTCTAAAACCAAAGCAATTCTGCAACCAAACTCATTCTAAAACCACAATTATATTTTTTTTAGAAATCCTTTCTAAACCCAAGGGCTCCCCCGAGCGGGCTCTCCCCCCCCCCTCTTTCTTTCCGCACCCCCTTCCCCTCCCCGGCCCGCGGCGGGTGGGAGGCGGAGGCCGGGGGCTGCGGAGGCTCCGCACGTCGCTCACGTCGCACAGGCAGGGCTGGGGCCCGGCCTCCTTCACCCCCCCACCTCCGCCGGGGGGTGCCCGGGCTCTGCTCCGCCTCCGCCTCGCTCCGCAGCCGCGCAAAAAGGCTGGGGCGGAGGCTCCGGGGGAGGCTCGCAGCCTCCCCCCCACCTCCCGGCCTCCGCCCCGGGTCGGGGATGGAGGAGAGGAGGCTGCGGAGCCTCCCCTGCGCTGCCTCCGCTAGGCGCAATTAATGCATGTAGGTGTATTTTATTAGGGTGAGTATTGGGTGTTTTTATCCCAAACGTAGCCACGCTTGGGGATTTTTAACCCATCAGTTAGATTCCCGCAGGTGACCTCGCCGCCTTCAATTCAGCAGGTGAAAAGCACTAATTCCAACCCAAACGTGGCAAAGGCAATAAATAAAGGTGCGGGGAAATCCAGCTTTCCCCTCCAAAATAATAATACAATTAAAATTAACATGAACATCACGATTTGGGGATGCTCACATCCCAAGCGACGCGGTGCAGCCCAGGCAACAGTGGGATGCTGGGTGGTCAGGTGGGGAAAGTTCAATATTTCATGGCTGGGAAGTGCTCCACTGGGTTTATTCTAGCTTGATTTGCTAAATAAAGCAAATTTTGCACGGAAATAAAGATGCTGGCAAGTTAGCATCTCAGCTACATACTGAATAGCCTCCGGTATTATTTTAGGGCATCTTCCACTAGGAAAAACAGGCATGTGTTTTTATGACAAAGAATATCTTTTTGGCTGTCTCCTTACATGGAGTCGAGATGGATGGAGTAAAAAAAAAAAAAAAAAAGTGCACAATCCCTCAGTGTGCTACGCAGGAAAAATATATTCATAGACAAAAAAAAAAAATGGTACTGTGTGGGAGCTGCAAAGGATGCAGAGATTTGGGATGTGGGAAGGAAGAGGGTGAGAGCATCAGCTGGAGAGGTGGGGGTGAATCAGCGAGACAGAGATGTGCCCCCCCAAGACAATACACAAAATACATCCTCGGGGAGGGCAGAAGACTATTTTGATAGATTTTGGCTATTTTATTTTCCCCCTTTCTCCAAAAATCCATTTCAGCAATGGGTTTTATGCCACCCTGGGTGGAGGCAGGTTGATCGGATGCTATTGCCGCTGCTGCTAAATTAATCTTTCCCCACAGAGGGCAGGAAAAATTCGGTAACCAGCTAAAACGCAGCTCAGAAGAGGGAAGAAAATTCACATGCTGATGCAGGACAAGGGTTTGGGGCATTCCCCTTCCTTCTGCAGCTCCGTGCTCCTCTCCACGTCTTTCCCAGAAGCTTCAGCCGCTTCCAAAATCACCACCGCAAGAGCGTCGAAAAGAGCAGGAAAGCGAACCTCCGCCTGAATTAAAATCACAGTCGCTTCAAATTAGATCCACCTAGTAACTCTTGGCTAAAAATGCCTAAATAACTGGAGCGGAAAGCTAGACCATACTTAAACTCCTAAATAAGTGGCCTGGTTTCCAAAGGCACGAACACGCAGCTGCTCCAAGCGAGGTCAGCTGGAAGGAGCATCATTACTATTTATAAGGCACTCTTGGTTGTGAGGGTGGTGGCAGCACAAGGTGCATTGGGAGGTATAAAAATGTAAAGCCAGGGATTGAAATCTGCAGATGAAATCACTTCGGGTGGGAATCCAGTGGGAACAGGGGGAAAAATCCCAAATCTGTGAGAGCAATCTCTTATGGGGATTGTAGCCTGGTGACTTCTCTGAAATACCAAATTCCAAATACCTCCTTTCCCTTATTTTGTGTCCCTGCTGTTAAAACACCGAAATGACCTAGCAGCCATCCCAAACGGTGGGAAAAGGCTCTGTATAGGGCCCAAAATCCAAACCCTGGGCTCAAGTCCCCATCCCCTGGGGAAGAACCTACCTGGGTACCAATCCAGGGGATGGCAGCCAGCCCTGGCACCGTTCCCACGCCATCAAAATGCAGGGAACGGCAGCCCCAACTCTGACTAAGCTGTGATTCATCACCTTTTTTTCTTTCTTTTTCCTTTTTTTCCTTTAAAGGAAGCTCGCAAGGAAAGCACGAGTCCCATTCATGCCTACGTTCAGTGCAGCATTGGGGCCGTCGTGGCGTCAAAGATGAGAGGGTGCAATTTACGGGGAACCCGAGCGCCTCTTCGCATGGATAAATTTGGAGGTGGTGGCTCAGGGCTTGCATCACCGCGAAGATACAGCTATAGGTGAGCTCCGTTAATGGCTGGGCAGCAATTTCCAGCACAGCCTCAGTTTACCAGGCTGCCACATGGGCACAATCCTCCCTTCGGAGGCAGGTTGCAAAATTTAAGCCAGCAGCTGCCCAACTTCTTGCTAGCGCGCTGAAGGCACCGTTTTGCAACAGACCAAATTACTCACCCAGGAGAGAGGAGGGGTATTTATAAACAAATTTGAAAAAAAAACCAAAAAACTCTTTTTGCTTCCGAAAAAAGAATCAGGGGAGGCATGGGGAAGCCAGGAAAGCTGCCTGCAGCACACCAGGGGCTTTCGGAAGGGTCAGGGAGGAACCAAGTGGTTGCATCCTCCTCTTGACTGCTGGACAGGGAACTGCTGTCGCTGCTGGGGTGGCTTTTTGGGGAGTCCTGGAGGAGTTTGCAAAATTTCTGAGCCTTTTGCTCATGGCCCTTTGTGCCTGCACGTTTAAATTGCTCTGCTTGTGGTGGTAACGGCTTCACTCTCCTGAATGTGGTAGGGAGAGCCCAATTCGGTCTCTGATCCCCCGTTCAACTCTGCAACGGGGAGAGCAGGATCAGGGCAGAGCAGAGAACATCTTGTGCCCCAAGCCCTCCTCCCTTTACCCAAACACCCAAGAAATCAACCCGTTCCCCCAGCTGGGGACAGGCTGTCCCCTTTGTACACTATTGCACTCTGCAACTGGACCTGACGTGTTACCGAAACGGCTTCCTTCCCCAGCCGTAAGCAACTCAGCTTGGGGTGAGCAGCCGAGCACCAAAATACCCCACAGAGCAGGCACTCAGGGCCACCCAGCATCTGCCAGTCGGCACAGGCAGCACCTTGCTTAAAATAGCTGCAAGTGGAGAAGGGGAAAAAAAATCAATTGGGTTTGAGGAATGAGGGCTGATAGCGAAAGGGGGAAATCCCCGGGGAGGAACGAGGCGTTGCTCAACCCCACTCCATCGGCCCCAGTCAAACGCCCTGCCGGGAGCTGAGCTCGCCTTTTCTTGGCAGCCAAGAGGCAGGAAAAGCCACGAGGGATCTGCACAAATGCATGTGGAGGCTTTCAGCAACGCTTGAGCAACAAGTGCCAAAATCAGCTCGCGTGCACGTGAGCCGGCTTGCAGCAACGGTGCTAGCCAGGAAGGAAAAAAAAAAAATCCAACCAAAAAAGCTCACATCACCGTCTACCAGCAAAACGAGGCTCCCTTTAGATTTCTCTAAATGCCTTCTTGGCCATATTCACCCCTCAGACCTGGTCGCTCTTGCTCGGTCCCTCTGCTCTGAGCACCCCTGTGTGCTGTCGCTGTCGTGCTCGGTGCTACACAGAAAGTATTTGGGGGGCAGTAAATTCTGCCTGAAGTCAACCCTATTTCCTGCAATGCCGTCAGCCTTGCTAAAAGCATTTTTTTTCCCCTTTCTTTTCATTCAGGAGCCCTTCAAGCAGAAGGATGAGGGTTCAAGCCTAGTTAGCACCTGATTTACTGCAAGGAGCTTTGCAAAGGGAGGATGGCAGTGCTGTGGTTTAGGAATTTGCACTGATGCTGATACGAGGCAAGAGACACCCAAAAAGTGAGTGATTTCTATGCTGTTAGGAAAAGGAAACACAGCCCGGGAGGACGAAAAGTGCAGGTGATGAGAAGCGTCAATTGGCAGCACGGGAGAAAGTGATTGTGGCTCAAAAGAGGTGCCAAAAGTAACAGGAAATATTTCAAGCCGTCGGATTTGTGCCCAAACTAGGGACTTTTGGTTATAACTGGGTGAGTTAAAGGCAAACAGCAAAGGAAATGGGAGAGGTACAAATGAATTGCCTGCCCATTATGAATGTGGAAGAAGGAAGGATGAGAGCCTGGATTTCAAGTGCATTCCCTAAGCTATGAGTAGAATCCCCAAGGGTCCTTCTGTCATTGTGCTGAGATCTTGGAGAGGGCTGGCAGGTCCCTGGAAAGTCCAAGTAAGACCCAAGGGCTTAGGCAGGTATCCAGGAGCCAGGACTGATGAGCCCGAAGGAGCCTTTTAGATTGATGTTCCTATTTAAAATCCCGTGGAAGGGGTTTTATCTCTGATTCATGGACCAGTTTTGCCTAAACCAGAAAATATGATGCAGATGCATCTCTGCTTCCAAATTACCCCAATACACTGTCCCACAGAAAGCACCAGGATGAGGTCCCTGTGGCCTGTCCATCAGATGCCTCTCAGGGGACACTAGCCAAGGAGATAAAATTTATGGTCTGAAAATCTCCTGTAATTTTCAAGAAAGAAAAATAAGTTGGAAATAACATTCTGAACCTGCAATGTACATTGGAGCGGGAACATTTCTCAATGCCGGCTGAAAGCCTGCTCAGAAACGTGTCCAAGCAGCTTGAGCAACGTCCTGTGCAAGTTCCCGACCTCAGAAGGCAAGTGCAAAACAAATCTCCCCCCATAAGCAGCTAAATCAGACAGACAACCGGCTCCCTAGGCTGCGGAGACAAACACGGAGCTTTAAAATTGTTAGAGGGTAATTACACAGCCAGGAGCCGGGGATATTCCGGTCTCAGGAATCTGATACTGTTTTCCCTTGAAATGAAATCCGGCTGAAAGATTCCAGGCTTGGTCCCAACAGAGAGGGTCAAAGGCTGCGGAGCTGTCAGGGAGCCAAAAATCCAGATTTTGACGCTGCCGGTGACTCCACAACGCCAATATTCACCTTATTGTGCCTCCTCCTGATGGGTACTTTCAGTTATATCAAACAAACAATTCACACTTTGTCCTGGGCTTTTTATATCGGGTGTGAAATCCCCTGCTGGAGCCCTGGGATTGAATCAGGGCGTAATGCCACGAGATGCTAAACTCAACCGGAGGTTACCCAGCTCCACAACCACAAGGCACCGACCCAGCCCCAAATCCTGCTGGGTGGAAAGAAAAGGGCACTTGTAGGGCTTCTGTGTCCCAGGTGAGGCTGTGTCAGCTCAGATTGCCCCTGTCCTGCTGCCAGCACATCCCATAAAGTGCCAGGGTGCTTTGCCCAGATACATCAGCAGAAATAGGGCCACATGCTCATGCCTGATCCAGACCTAATTCGTGCTGCAAAGCCATGCAGCAGGTCCAAGATTTGCCCTGCTCCGAGCACAGATTGCTACAGGGGTCATTTAAATGGCCTATTTTTGGGGTGGTCTTGTAGGAGGTTGGGTTAATTAGGAGCTTAATTCCCCAGCCCCGTGGTGCATGTGGGATGCAGCCCTCCACCTCCATCGGAAACACCCTAGGGACCAGCCTATTTAAGGTGGAGGATGGTCACCCTCCGGAAATCACAGCCTCTCATTATCATTATCATTAGAGGACTCTGCTGTTGAATTATTGCCCAACGCCTTATTTGCACCTGCCTTTCATTAAGGGCCGGGATCGTTATCTCATCATCATCGCAGCTTATTAAATCAAACAATGGCAAAGGCTGTGGCCTCTCATTCGGGGACTGACTCACCTGGTGATGTAACAGGGACAACCTCAGCAGTGCCATGGTGACCGGCAGGCTCCCCAGGAGCACTGATGTCACTGAGCCAGCTGCTGGGGATGAAGGGGAATCTCCTGGAAGAAGCCAAGGAGCACCAACACAACGCTCTTGGCTCACTGTGAAAGTTTCAGGTTAGCCTGAGGGCGGCCGGGGTTAGGGAGGAAGCAAACCTTGTGGTTTGTGCTCGTAGGCAGCAAAATGTGGCAGATTAATCACAGCCTGGGAAAAAGGATGTTTTATTTATCTCTGCCATCACCCCCTGCTAATATCAGTGCAGGTCCTGGTATGTTTTTTTTCTATCAGGGGTGATAAAACACCACCTTACAGGGCAGCATCCTGGGAGGATCTGCTGTTGGGAGCATCCGCAAGAAGGCTGTGGGTAGTATTTGGGAAGGATTTGTGTCAATTTGGGTGTCTGCAAGGAGCTGGTTGCTTCTGACCATCTGCAGAGAGAAATGGGCACTCCCGGAGTGATTCACCTGCCCTGCCACGGACACTGAAACCAGGCTAAGTTGTGTTCTGGAGGTGTCCATGGCCTGTGAGCGTTGGTCTACAGCTAAAGCCATCTGATGCAAATCCTGGTGGGCTTCAGGATGAGGTGATCCAAAATGCAATTCCTTGTTCCTCAAGACTCAAGCCTTGCTCCTCGAGACACAAACCCACGCTGGGAGCTAGGATGAAGCTTTGATGAGGAGCTGCATTTCGAAACTGCGTACGTGCTGAGGATCTCTCCACACCCTTGTGAGCACGTCTGCTGTATCGACAACCCGCTCGTCCCTGCTTCCTTGCAGGGCTGGGACCATGCAGGCAGTGGCAGGTGATGGTTGCCCAACAGCATCCCACACCTCGATCCCAGCTGAGAAGAACCATGATTGGGACCAGCACCACTCCTTGGTTCCCTGTTCCCTCCCCAAGGGCTCACCTCTCCATCCAGCTGATGGAAACCACAAGCCACCAAGAAGTGAGGTTTAAGTGTCCCAGGCTGTTGTCACATGCTCTTAAACCTGAGACCTGCAAGGATTTTAGGATGTCTGTGAAAAACAACCAAGCACGTATGGTCAATATGTTGAAATTCAGAATGGGAAGGTCCATGACTATGCTGAAAGATGTCCAAGGACCAGCCAACTGAAAGGCCATCATGAGATGGCAAGGATTTCCGAGTTCTCTGAACCAGGAATGAAAATGATCAAGAGATGAAAGACATCTTGATGAAAGATGAGGATCTGCTCTTGATGGACATCTCAAGGAGGTCTGTCTTCAGCTGTGGGAGCCAGGCTGAGTCTCCGTATCTCTTGCTGGAGCTCTCCACAGCCCCAGGTAACCTTTCAGATCTCCTAATGACTTAGCCAATTCCTGGAGCTGAATAGCTAGAAGCAGTGCACACAGGTTGCTGGAATGCAGAGGTTAAATAACCAGATTTTCTTATCAGGCTTTTCTCAAATTTTGTTCTGCATGGAAGGCAAATATTTCAATTTATCTAATTCCTACCAGAAGTTTTCAATTTGTGTATTTTATTTAATCATTTCCATACCATGAAGACCTAGCCAGAAAAAAAAAGAAAAGTCAAAATCGGTCCAAAAATATCTACAGAATTTCGTTTCTTCTTTCACTGATATTTTCCAATCAGACATGAAAAATATTAACGGGAAATTTCTCTGAGATATTGGGTCAAACTGAAATATGGGGAGCTTGTTGCCAACATATTTTCTCAAATGTATTTGCATTTTCCAAGCCACAATGACAAGCAGTTAACAGCTTCTTGGAGAGAGGGTAGGGGGGCAAGAAAGGAAAAGGAAAGAAAATTCAGCTGAATGTTTAGATTTCTGCCCTGGACTTTAACAGATAGCAGCCAACTGGCATTTGGGGACATGGTAGTTTGGTGGGGAACAGGAGGGCCGCCACCATGCTTTTGTAACACTGGGAATGACCCAGTTTTCTCCCCAACCAGCTGCTGTCATTTGAGCTGAGAAGCAGAGCCATGAGATCTGGGCCACACACGTTCCTATCCCACTGACCATGAGCTGTCCCCACTGAGTGTGATGGAGAAGGGGGAAAACAACTCTAACTGCACCTGCTTTGGTATTTCTGGCAGCCACCGCTCACTGGGGAATCAGAGCACAAACTCCTTGCCCTAAGGAGGCTGCAATTTCCCCTTCCTACTCCTCAGACCCCAAACAAACAGCTGTGGGGGGATGTGGGCTCATCCCACGTGTTCCTCTGCACCGTGTCCTCGTGCTCACCGTGTCCTCGTGCCCCGTGCTGGGGGCTCAGCACGTCCCTGCTTGCAGTGCCCTGGCGGTGACGGCGAGGTCGGGGTGAGGGTTTCGCATTTCCCTGCCCGGCTGTTTACCCTGGGCTCAGGCTACATCCAAACAACTGCTACAGTACGTCCTGAGTCACCACGGGCTCTGGCAGACGGGTGGTTTCGCCTGCCAGCTTCCCAGTACAGAAAGCGAGCTGGGCTCGGGATGAAGGCACAACCTGCATTCGCTTTGTGCCATGCGTTTATCGCCTAAGCTTGGGTGGTTTGGGGCACCTGAGTGATGAGCACATCGTTCCTGCTGCTGGGCGGTGTTGTGATGATGTGGTTGGAGAGGCTCTGGGGTTGGAGAGGTTCTGGGGTCGGACAGGCTCTGGGGTCACCCATCCCACACGCTGAGCCAGCAGGAGCCCCAGGCTGCACCCCTATGGGTGCTGGCACACATGGAGGTGTGTGTGGAGCCCAGAGCATCTCCCAAACCTGCCAGCTCTGTAAGAGCAAGGTCTTCCTTCAGCCCCAGCCAGCAGGCATCCCACCAGTGTGGGCTTGGGGTGAAGGCAGGGGTCATGGTAGATGCACTCCCCCTCATTTTCAGCACGTGCTGTGAGCACAGATGTGCTGTGGGTCCCCTCCCCATCTCGTCTTAAACAGATGCTGGTTCCAGAGGTGACCAGCCCCAAAAACCCACCCCACACAGCCCACCAAGCACAGCTCCTTTGGGCCATGGAGCACGTGCGGGATCACACGCGATCGCCTCCATCCCTGCTGCTGTCTGAAGCTACTTAAAAATCTGGTCATTTTGCATTCAGACAGAGTCAAGTCATCGATGAAACGAGGTGACTAAGCCCTGATGCTGGCACACATCAGCCACATCCCTCGCTGCTTTGTCTCGTCTCGTTCGTAGCCGGGCCGTTAGCCACCGCGGCCACGTTAGCCGACTCAATCCCATGGCTGCAAGAACATCCCGGTAGCAAAACCAGCCCCAAAACCAGAAAAGGTATTCATAGATTCTCCAAAATTTGGCTCTCAGGCTGTAAATCCGTCTCTAGAAAAGCCCTCTTTCCACCCGCGTGTCCTTCACCAAGTTACTCAAATCACTGCCAGTTGCAACAACAATTTGTTGGGCATTCTTTGATGGTTTGTTAAATCGCTCTCAGGTTCATGGTGTTTGGCTTGGGTTGGTTTCTGAGCAGCTCAGCTGCACGCAAAATATAAAAATAAATAAATAAATAAATAAAGAGGGGAAGAGAGATTGAGGAAGAGGAAACCCAGCAGCAACCAGAGGCAATTTCACATTTAAGAGGACCAAAGGGTTTGCAGACCGTGCTCCCCCACACACGTGTTGTTCCCAGCTGCTGAGGTGGAAACCCACTGCCTGCCTTTGGCAAAGAAACCTCGGAGAAACAAGCAAACATATCACTGCTGACAGGTGCCTCTTCTGCCTCGGCTCATCCCGCTCAGGGCACGGTTCAAAACACAGTGATTTTGGTAGCAAAGCTGCTTCAGAGTCCCTCATCCCACCCTGGAGCCCTGTCCTCAGCTGTCAGCTGGACCTGGTTCTCTCCTTTTTTGTATATTTTTTTTATTATTTTTGCAAAGGTAGCATTTTTTCTTAGCATGGGTCCATCCCCGGGGCAGAGGTGTTTGCACAAAGCTGGGCAGCATCCCACGGTGCTGGGATGAAGGAGCTTCCTCAGGTTGCCAAAGCCCAAATCCCAGCTCCGGCCACATCCCGCTGCTCCTGTTAGAAACCCCTCAATAATCAGAAGGGTTTCTAAGAAAATCATTGAGCGGGATTAAAACCAAGTCAAAAGCTCCAATCTCTGCCCTGGGCACGTTACAGTCTCCTATTGGCATCAAGGCTGGATGCTTGCCCAGGTCACACCCTGGGGTGAAGGGACCAGTTTCCTCCAAAATTATATCCCTGGCTACAATGCATTTATTCTGCGCTCGTGCAGGATAAACTGGCAGTGCCCATCTGTATTTTTTTGGGCAAAATAACTCAGTTTCCCTGAAATCAGCACCGTGGCTCTGCGGAGGGCATTTAGTCCCTGCCTTGAAGCCCACGAGCAAGGCACCAGAAGTGCAGAAGCAGCCAGAGCACCCCAGGGACTGAAATTTGTGCACAGGCAGGGGGGCTCCATCCCCCTTGGGGGCTTGAAAATAGAGGTGAGTGCAGGAGGCAGGATGCCCGATTTCACCCTGGAGCTGCTTGCAATAAATCCCGTCGAGTTTAACAAATCCTGCTGTTTACCAAGCCGAGCTGTTCCCGAGCTTTCCTAGAAATCTTGGTGGAGGAGACCCAGGCACCAGCTCCCTGCTGGTGGCTGGGGAAGTGGAGGCAGTGAGGACGTCCTCCCCATGCACGCGTGAGCGGGGCGTGCACAGCCCGTGCACGCTCTGCAAGCTTGCATGTGCTCGGAAGCCCCACGGCCCCACCATCCGCCGCGTGCCGGCCAGAAAAGGAGCCGTAAACAAGTTTACCCTGCAAAAGGGCTCTCCCCGGGTCAGCTCGGGCAAGCCGGCTGCCAAGTGCAGTGCTCGGGGAGGGAAATAAATCATCTTGTCTGGAAGGGGTTTTGGGTTGCAGCTGGTTTAACTCCAGCCCTGCCGCGTCCCGGCCCAAAAACCTGCTGCTGGTTCTACCAGGCGAGCTGAAAACAGAGCTGAGGCTGCTCGGGGATGCAGCAGCACCTCCTTTTTTTCTAGTAAATTTAATGTCTCCGATTCCCCAGCCCCAAAACAGCATCGTTTCTACCCGGGTTGTTTCACAGGGAGATAATATTTGTACACCCCAGCCTGAGCTCTGTTCCCAGAACAAATACAACTTTCCCCAGTTTCCAACCCAAAACTCTCTGGGTAGGGTTTTAACACCCTGCTCCTCTACACGGGCTGATGTTCAAGCCGTGTGTCACACTACCCTGAGGTGCAGAGCAGCAATGCACACCGGGATGTCCCTGCCCTGGGACAGGGGACACAGCACCGCATGTTTCAGCAGGGACAGGTTTGATGCAGAGAGCGCTGGAGCTGCAGATAAGGAGTTTGGATCCCTGCCACGCTGCTGTCAGAAAGGAACCAGCAGCAGCACCGCAAGCACCCTGCAGAATTTCGTGTGTGGCCCCAAATCACTGAGGATGCACCGGACTCCAGCAGGGATTTAATTTTTGCATGTGGCAGGGAGGAGATGGCACCCAGAGGGATGCTCTGCCCGGGATGGGATGCAGCCAGACCCATGGATGGCAGCGTGACCCACAAGTCCCGGGGCAGAGCCACCAGCAGGTGCCCAGAGGTTGTCTCACCAAATCCCCCGTGAAGTCCTAGGGCACGGGGAGGTTGGGGACAGCCCGTTTGGGTACAGTAGCAGTGTCATGGCCACACGCAGCCAGGTACAGTGCGTCGGACTCGGCGTCCCATGGTATCAAATCACCGCCTTTGCTAGAAATAGCACGGGCTCGTTGCAGCCCTGTGCCTCTCTGCTTGGGTCCCAAAGGTCTCCAAAACGCCACAGCCACTGGCACAGCGCTGCGCCCTCCCCTGCCTCAGTTTCCCCTGCCATGAGTGATAAATCTGGTAACCCTCAGACTCAAGGACTGGGGAGAGGGGCTAAGAAACTCAGCAGCCAAACACAAACCAACAGCACGATGCCCTTGGGGTAAAATAAATAAATAAATAAATAAATAAATAAATAAAAATCCCTGATCCCTGTTTTTTTCAGCCTTTCTGCTGTGAAAATGTGTCTGCGTTTCAAAAACTCCTGGGTGCCCTGCAGAGACCGAAGGCAGCACCCGAGTGCGTGCGTGCACGCACGCAGCAGGCGAAGGGCGATCACGCCTTGCCGGCTGCTGGTTTTGAAATCCTCCCACGTCCCTCGGCGAAGAGCCCGCGGTCATCTGATTTTAGGGGAACACCTCCAGAGCTCGCCTTCGCCAGGCAGGATGGCTCCTGCCGCACACAAGGATGCGGGGATGAAGCTGCTGTCATCGCAGCAGGGAGGCGAGGTGAAGGGAGGCAGGGTTGTGTTACGGCGAGATGAATTTCTCCGTAGTTGAGGGTGTGTTAGGAAGGGGTGAGGCATGCCCAGGTGTTTTTTTTTGACATGAGGTGGTCACTGAGCAGGGCGTTCAGCTGGTGGCATGTGTAAATGCAGTTGGGTTGTGCCAATGCTTGTTCATCATGTAAATATGGCATAGGAGAGCCCTCCATCCGTGCAGGAGGGAGGCTGGAGACCAAGGGGAGGGTTCTTTGAGGGTTCCTCCAGCAGCCTGAGCTGCCTGCTGGGTGTCTGGCCCTGGGAAGGCAGGTTGGAGGCACGTCTGCCTGCTCCCAGCTTAGGAAATGCTATCAGGAATCGCATCTTTACGTGGTTTCAATTCCCAGATTCAGGAAGTCTGAGAGGCTCTGGTAACCCGCTTAACGCACCGTCTGGTTTCTGGGTCCCCCAAAATCCGCACTGGACATCACAGCTTCCCTGAATCAGCTCTAAGCCTCCTGCCCCCATTTAAAGCTGGGCAGTGGGTCCAGCTCCAGCACATCCCCATGACATGGTAACTTCTTAAACCCATTAAAAGCTCTTAATTATTGTTATAAAAGCTAAAGAAAGTGTAAGGTCACAAAGACGGTGGAGAGATCATACTCATCAAGTGCTTTATTGCAGCTGAGGAGAGCAGGGACGTGCTTGGATGGATGGGATGTGGTCACAGACACCTGTGAGTTTGGGTCATTTGCTCGTGTTTTTGCTCCAGAAGCCAGCCAGGCGAAAGGAGCTCAAATTAAACCAGGAGCCACAAGGAAATCACCCCAGCAAGAAGCACAGTCCGGGGGGAAAGCGGGACACGAGGGAGTTTCAAGGCTTCCAGGAAAAGGTGATGGCTGAAAACAAGGCGATGGTTTAAGGAAAGCACGAGCCGGTGAGTCAGGGAAACCAGAGACAGCTCCACTGCACATTTCCTGCCTGCCCTTTGAGCAGACAGCTGCGAGCAGACGCCCACACGGGCACGGACACCAGGACGGACACCACGAGAAGTTCGGGACACTCAGACCACCCCCAGCAGCTCCCTCCTGCTTCGCTTGAGCCACGTCACCCAGAGGAGCAATTCACTGATGCTCGGAAATCCCTCTTTGAGCCGAAACGCAGAGGAGTGCCAGGAAAGCAGAGAGGAGAGGAGCGAGAGCTGACGTGAGCAGCAAACCCAGCAGTGTGCGGAGCTGTGAGGCATTCCCAGCAAGCCAGAAAGCAGCAGAAAGGGGGGAGAAAACACTCGCTTAAGGACCAGGAACCTTCATAAAAACACATCTCCGCCCTGAGCTGGAATCGCCCTGGAAATGCCTGCAGCAGGGTGTTACCACCTGAACACACACACACACGGGTTGTGATTTAAGGGAAGAGTGCAATAAAGGGATGCAGAGCAAAAATAGCAGCAGGATGTGGCACTGGCCTGCCCGTTCCCTTCGTACTCGTGTGCCAAAAGCTCCTCCGCTTTTAGGGAGAGGAGCCTTTATTTGTAGGGAGGAAGGAGCCAGGTCAGGGCTCTGATTGCATCCATCTCAGCCATGTGTTGCCAGCGTGAAGCCAAACACCTGGCTCTCCTTGTGGCCACTGGAGATGGAGAGGTCCCCTTAGGGCTGTCGACCCCATCCACCACCACCACCCCTCCTCTGGTCTCGTTGCCTCCAGGGGGGACCTGGATGCCTGGCCCATGATGAAGATCTTACTCCAGGGGGTTAAGCCAGGTGAGACCTATCTGGCCCCGTGTAATACGTGCAAGGATGCCCTCCAGACCACACTCAGCCCAGGGAAGAGATGTTTAACCCAACTCATGTGCGCAGCAATCACGGGGCACTGCTTCCCTTCCTGCTGCCAGCCCAGCTGATAAGAGACAGCGCTCAGGTTTTGGCCACAGACCCCACAGGAGCCCCCAGACCCACCACCTTGTGCATTTTCCATCATTCCACCTTTCTCTCCTCCTCCCTCCTCCTCTTCTTCCTTTCTCTCTCCTTCCTCTCCTGCCCCAGACACCGTGTGGTAACAAACCACTCCGTGCGTGCCACAGGGCACGCTCCCCAGGGGATTTCCCCAAAACACACCCAGCAGCCCTGTCTGGAGACAGGGTGTCCTCCAGTCCAGGTCAGCAGGCCCATCACACCCATGGTTCTGCTAATCTCCACCTTGCTATCAGCTCTTCCTGCACAGACAACACGCTCAGCACCACCAGCACTCCCCGTGGCCCCTAATCCAGCACTAACGTGCCCTGAGGACCAGCGATCCCAGCAGGTCTCCCTGTCCAACTCCTTTGTCCTTTGACAGATGACAAACGCCCTGCTCTCTGCCAAGATCCTGTCTGCTCATCACCTGCACTCTCCCACTCTTCCCCACATCAGTAATTAAATTGTGTTTTTCGGGCCAGGGGCAGGGCGTTTTAGCTGGGAGCTCCCGTGGCTGGGGTTTGCCAGCACCCAAGAAGGGGACTTTCTCCAGCACGTTGTAGCTGGATGCTGTAAGAAATCAGCTCCTGCCCCGAGCCCGTCCCTTCTAATTGTCC